TTAGGTTCTATATTTCCCATGCTATTCTTGCCCCCCCATCTATTTTCTATCTACTGTCTATGCTACTTATTTTCTGTACCTTCTCCCCCCATCTCCTCCTCCCACTCCCCTGTTGCTAACCCTCCTTGAGATCTTCATTTCTATATTTCCACTCCTGATCTAGCTGTTCTTTTAGTTTGCTTTCGTTTTAGGTGTGGTTGTTAATAACTGTGAGCTTGTTGTTCTTTCACTGTTCATGTTTCTTTAACTTCTTTTCCTTAGATAAGTCCCTTTAACATTTCATATAATAAGGGCTTGGTGATGATGAACTCCTTGAATTTGGTCTTATCTGAGAAGCACCTTATCTGTCCTTCCATTCTAAATGAAAGTTTTGCTGGATAGAGCAATCTTGGTTGTAGGTCTTTAGATTTCATGACTTGGAATATTTCTTTCCAGCCCCTTCTTGCCTGTAAGGTCTCTTTTGAGAAATCTGCTGACAGTCTGATGGGGACTCCTTTGTAGGTGATTGTCCCCTTAGCTCTTGCTGCTTCTAGGATTCTCTCCTTCATTTTAATTTTGGCTAATGTAATTATGATATGCCTTGGTGTGTTTCTTCTTGAGTCCAACTTTTTTGGTACTCTCTGGGCTTCTTGGATTTCTTGGAAGTCTATTTCCTTTGCCAGATTGGGGAAATTTTCTTTTATTATTTGTTCAAATAGTTTTTCCACTGGTGGTTGTGTCTTTCCCCCCTTCTGGTACCCCTATAATTCTGATATTGGAGTGTTTAAAGATGTCCTGGAGGTTCCTAAGACTCTCCTCATTTCTTTGAATTCTTGCTCCTTGACTCTTTTCTGTTTGGCCATTATTTGCTTTCTTCTGGTCCACTGCATTGATTTGAGTCCCAGTTTCCTTTTCATCTCTATGGGTTTCCTGTGGAATTCCATTCATTTCCCTTAATTTAGCCTTCATATGTTTCTCTAATTTGTGGCTATAATCAACCAGATCTATGAGGAAGCTGATGACCAGTGTTTTAAACTGTGCGTCTGAGAGTTTTGCTATTTCTTCGTCGCTTAGATTTATCTCTGGGGCTTTGAGGTCTTCCTGCGACATTTTTGGTCTGTTCTGGCCCTTTAAATGTGAGAAGCGGCGCCTAGGACTCCCAGGTCGCTGGGTTGTGACGCTGTATGTGGGGGCGTGGTCAGAGCGGGGAAATGGCGAGGCCCTCTATAGCCACAGCGCCAGTCCAACCTCCCACTCCCTCGCTCGCTCGCAATCAGGCAACCACAGTCAACACGCTGCACTGCCTCCCCACTGTATCCTCCGCAGTCGCTCACCCGGTGGGTCGCTCGATCGCTCACCAGGTCCAATCCTGCGTCTGGAACCTGCACGTCCGGATTCGCGCGTCTGGATTCCGCGCCGGGTCCGACCGAGCCCTCCTTTTCAACTCCTCACCAGACGCCGGTTTCGCCCCTTACCGGTCGGGCTGAAGAATTTGTTGTTAGCGGACTTCCGAAAAGTTCAGTTTTCCGTGTTCTGGTTGTGTTCTCTGATGCTAATATTTAGTTGTCCCTAAACTTGGTTGTGTGAGAAGGTACGGCACATCCACCTATACCTCCATCTTGGCGGAAGTCCTTATTCTTCTTATAGTTGTTCCTTTATCGTATCTAACAGCACTGATTTAATGGAGAAATATTTTTTCAGCCTTCTTTTGTCTGGGAAATTCCTTATTTTGCCTTCCATTTTAATTGAGAGCCTCACTGGGTAAACTAGTATTGTTGAAGGCCTCTCTGGTTTTCATTACTTGGAATATTTTTTGCCATTCTCTCCTGGCCTATAGTGTGTCTTTTGCAAAATCAGCTGCTAGCCTTATCTAAACTCCCTTGTATGTTACTTCCTGTTTCTCCCTTGGTGCTTTTAGATTCTTTGTCTTTAAAACTTGGCATTTTAATTATGATGTGTCTTGGAGTAGGCCTCCTTGGGTTCATCTTTATTGGGACCCTGTGTGCATGCTGAACTTGCATGGTTTTTCCCCTCTCCAGGTTCAGAAAGTTTTCTGCCATTATTTTTTCAAATAGGTTTTCTGTTTCTTGCTCTTTTTCTGGTATTTCTATGATTTGAATATTGTTGCATTTCATGTTGTCTTTCATTTCCCTTAAGCTATCTTCATATTTTTTAGTCATTTTCATATATCTGTTCTATTTGGGCATTTCTTTCTACCCTGTTTTCCAGGTCACTAATTTGGAACTCCGCTTCATCCAATCTGCTTGTAATTCCTTTTAGTATGTTTTTTTTATTTCAGAAATTGTATTCTGCATTTCTTCCTGGTTCTTGTTTATAGTTTCTGCTTCATTTTTCATAGTTATTGTTCTTACTCAGTTCCTTGTAGTTGTCTCTGGGATCTTTGAGCATCCTTATAACCATTGTTTTGAATTCTATATCTGATAGTTTGCTTACCTTCATTTCATTTAGTTCTTTTACTCAGGCTTGATTTACTCAGGCATTCCTTTTGATTGCAGGTTCTTTTTTTGTTTCCCCATTTTAGGTGACTGCTTTTGTTTGTTTCTGTGATTCCTAATGCTTTGCTTTGCTAGATACCTTCATAGGGTGAACTTTGATGGTAGGAGTTCTGTGGGACTCAGTGGTGTGGAGTCTTTGATCTCCTTGTCTGGATGCTCTAGGTTTGCACTTTCTTCTGTTTGTGTGGGCTCTCTTATTATACTTGATCTTTACCTGTTGATGGCTCCTTTGTGGTGGGTTTTCTCCTCCAGTGGGTTTATTGGTATTCACAACTTTCACCTTATTTTGTATGTGATCAGGAGGGCTACAAAGGTGGAATGGATTAAGACAACAGGAGAATATTCTATGGGATTTAAAGTACCAACATGTAGAGAACAGATAGGAGATCCATTTGGAGAAGTGTAGCAATAACCATGATATTTCACCCAACAAGGCACTTTTTATAAAAGGTGTAAAAGAAATAAGACTCTTATTAGAGGGGAAAAGAATATGATGACTCCAGTAAGCAGAGCACTTATTCGAAGTTAAATGGTGAGGTATAGTGAGACTAAGGAATAGAAACTTGGCATAGTGTGCAAGAGAATAGAGTTAACCACAACAGAAATAAAGCTCAGGTGATAGACCAAGGCCAGAGAAGAGTGCTATGTGGGATTTAGAACAACAATATCATGACAAATACTATATGATTGAAATAAAAAGAATAAAAAGTAAAAGACCAAGAGTAGTGTGATATTAGAATACATGTGAAGTGAAAGAAGAAAACTTAAAATGTAATATGAATGGGAGAACAAGAAAACCAGTCAAACAATAAAATGAAGCACATAAAACAAAATAAATGGAAAGAAGAAAAATAAATTAATAAAAATAATGAAACAAAAACAAAACAAATAAAATAAAAAATAAAAATAAAATGCAAGTTCTGTAGGGTAGAAAAGTGCAATTTGTCTCAGTTGTTGGAGTTAGCCTTCTGATATCTCTATGGGTTTGTCTTTGACAGGTTTATAAGACCTAAGCTCCAGGTCTTATTGTCTTAGACTTTGGGGAAAAAACCCTCCTGCTAACTTTAAACCCACTAAGGGGGTTTTGCTGATCTTCTTGGCTGCTGCAGGCACAGAGGGGCTGGGCTTCATTTTTTTTCCTTTCCTGTAGTTCTGTGAAGATGGGGGCTTGGTCTGGTCTACAATATTCACAGGTGCCCAGTCTTCAGAGTGCTTGGGGGAGGGGGCATACTGTGCATATGCACCAGGCTGGCAACTTCATTATGCCACCCTTTGATCATTCCAGGAGGTGCTCCTAGTGGGATCAACTCTCATCCCTCTCCTTCCCTCTTTGATGGCCTAGGCTCCATGCTCCTGCAAAGCCTTTTCAGAGCAGTTTAGTTCCCCTCTTAATTTAAGTCTCTCTGGGGACTCGTACTTCTCTGAGGCCCCATTGCCCTCCTTTGATCAGTCTGTGACATACCCTGATTTGGAGAAAATCAGCCCCTCTTTCTCCTTCTTTGCTGGTTGGGCCCCCGCCGCCGAGAGGACCTTGCAAAGTGGCTGAGACCCCCCCCTTTTTTTTTTTTTTAAAGCAAATGCCCCTTTATTGTGGGCAGTAGTACCTAACAAGGGCTTGGCTTTTCATACAGACCAACAACTCTCTAACCAGTATGAAGACTGGGTCACAGTCAGTTGCAGCCCAACTTTTCTCCCATCTTCAGGTGTTACCTGGCTCCCCAGTTTCTCTTGTATTGTTCCAGTCAGCAGCAACAGTACCAGCTTGGGGAACAAGACCTGCAGTGGGTCTCCCACTGTGTCTTTATCTTCCCAGTGACTTTAGACATCCAGGTCTTTCCTGGTGCAGGACTGGCTTTCCTACTCTGGGAGGGGAGGGAGCTTTGAAGTTACAATCCTTGATCCGGCTCTCATCCAAAGGCCCTGGGGCCAACACAGTGCCAGGCATAGGGCCTGGGGATCTTTCCATTGGCCTATAAACTATTCTTACTCTCTGTTTTTTAAATGTCCTCTGCAATCTTTGACTTCCAAACTTTATATAAACTGGGATTCCATTGGCTGTCTACTTTGTTCTTCAGAAGATTGGCTAGGTGTCCCATCTAGGTGCATAAGTAAGTGAGATCAGCTCCCACCTACCTTGCAGTCATCTTCAGAGCTCTTCTCTATGTATTTTCTCTTATGCATTCAAAAACATTATTTTTAGAAGTGAGGTCCTTGTGGGGGGAGCGCAAGGGGGGAGCGCAAGGGGGATAAGTACTAATGGAAAAATACAATAAAAACCCAATAATTTTTAAAAAGAAGAAAAAAAAGAAGTGAGGTCCATAGCTTCACCAAATTACCTAAGGGATTTTTACCCCCCCCCAAAAAAAAGTAAATAAAAGGCTGAAATCTCAGAGCCTGAACTTCAATGTCTTTGCATTGTTCTGCCTAAGTTTAATCTATCAAACAGGGTCAGACTCAGGACTTCAAGTGAGGACTGTCTAGGAGGAGTGTCCAAGAAAGAGTAAAAAATTACTATCATGTGGCAGATGATTGAAACTGTCTGACACAATTTGATCTTGCTATAGCAACAGATTCCAACCTATTCCGGCACTCTCTCCTCCATGGGACAAGCCGTTATACAGACTTAGACAGTGAAAAAAAATCAGTATCATTCATAAATATAGTTAGACTATCTCTATAGAAAAATAGACTGGAAAAATAGAGGAATATAAGGTAATCTTTGGATATACTGTTTCTTGATCAGGCTAGACATGGGGTTCTCACTTAGACTTTGATGAGAAGCATGGACTGAACTGAATTAGAATCAGTAGGGATTGAGTATTAATCTTGTAGTTCATATGATTCATAGGACAAACTCTGAGAAACCTGGGCTATATATGCAACTCCTGCACATTTGTTTTAAAGGGACCAGTCAGCACCTGATACACATCCACCTTTATTGCTCTGTTATTCTGAAGTCTTTCACTTAATTCAAAACTCCCTTGATGCACTTTTACTTATCTGTTAAGCCTGGAGCACATGTATACACCTCTATATTTATTCTTCCCAAAGCCCTGCCTCCCATTTCTCCTATAGTGCTTTCTTCATTTCTTTAGTGCAATAGGGATTCTATATTATATTAAAATTATTTGTTTAAATGTCTGTGTCACCAGGCTGAGGTGCTCAATGGTAGGGGCTATTTCTCTTCATCATGGGATTTTTTCCTCCCACATCTTAGATATTTGTCAACTTAAATTGAAAATCAAGAAATTCCCTTTTCATTGAGAGTTGTTGGAGACTTTATTCTGAAATCAATCTTTTATAGATTCAAAGTTCTCTACCTATGTAAAAGTTTTTCTAATTTTATCTTTTCCTCTCTTAGATCAAGTTTCTTGGACATGTTACATATACATATGCCTACATATAAAAATACACCATGTTTGTTATTGTGGCAGAGATAGTTGTCTACCCAATGTATATTCTCCCCTTCTTACTTACAAGTAGTAAAAACAAAACAAAAACCTAGATTTTTCAGTCCTCCTACAGAAAAGGACAATCATCTTACCCAGTTCTAAGATATGAATGGAAATTATTGGGTGGGACTTCGAGGAAAACCCTTAAAAAGAGAAGAGATTTGGCTGGTTTGAACATTTTTGCCCCTTTCTCTTTGACCCTTCCCTTCTTTTTTTCTGGAACACAAACAGAATGTTGGGAAGTTAAGTGACCATCTTGGGACCACAATGTGATTGATGAGCACATTATAATTGTTGGATGAAATGATACAAGGAGTTTGGGTCCTGATTGCATCATGGGGCCACTGGTCAGCCCTGGGTTTACTACTTCTAGATTTCTTATAACTAGGAAAAAATTAGGACCTAATTTATTTAAGCTATTTTTCCTTCCTTTCTCCCTCTTTTCCTCTATGCTTTCCTTCTCCCACCCTCTCTTTTTTTATATTTCTGCAGCAGAATGCAAAACCTTGACTATTATGTAGCTTCATTAATGAGTATACTCCTGTTAACTCACATTAGTGCAGTAGAAAACTAACCAAAAAACTGGTCATTACTTGGTTGTAAATGAGGCCAATATAGAGAACAAACATATACTCTATCTAACCTCTCTATCCTTAAGTTATAAAGAGGCATTTATAGTGATCCCACATTTTAAAAAGTCATATGTGTGTATATAAAATATATAAATATAGTAATATACATATACGTAGCTGTCTAAAAGATGTTTATCGTAGCTCCTAATAATTAATAGCAGTGGGATTTCCATATTATTATTACTTCATTTCTTAAAATGTTATATTGCTTCCATCTCCTACATGACTGTTGATTTTATAGTATCAAAAATAATAGAACTACTTTTAAAAAATGTGATGTATAGTAAGAACATTTTTATAAAAATAGAACTTTTTTTTTGAAGTGAAGTGTTTTTATTTTTTAAAATTGCCATTAATTCTACTCAAGAAAAAATGTTCAGATCACACTACATATGCCCGTCATTGTACTGGCTGATGGGGCTTCAGTTTTTGACATCTGATATGAAGCATTTAATTTCCTTCTATAAAATTTATTTGAGATAAGTAGAGGGCAACAAAAGCCAATTGAGAGTGGATGCTACACAATCAATCAGCCAGGCTTAGTCTATAAAACTCCTCTCCATAACTACATGATTCAAAGTCATTGGCGTGGATCTCAGGATCTCTAATGCAAACTTTGAATGAAATTCTTTTTTTTTCTTCTTTACTATGCATATTTCTATTTTTTTAATTAATTTTATTTAGTTATTTTTCAAGTACAGTTTTTTGTCTATTTTTCCCATCCCAGACTCCCCCGCCCTTGCTCCCCCCCCCTCCCATTTCCATCCCCCTTAGTTCTCATCCCTGTGTCCTTCCTATTTGTTCCTCCAAATCCCTCCCCCTTTTCCCCCTTAACTTCCCTTCCTTCTCCCCTCTGGTCACTATCCCCTTGTTCTCTATTTCAGTGTCTTTCTTTTTTTTTTCTTTCTGCTTGCTTGTTTGTTTTGTTGTTTAGCTTCCTGTTAAAGGTGAGATCATATGGTATTTGTCTTTCAGCACCTGGCCTATTTCATTTAGCATAATGCTTTCCAGTTCCATCCATGTTGTTGCAAAAGATAGTAGCTCCTTCTTTCTCTCTGCTGCATAGAATTTCATTGTGTATATGTACCACAATTTTTTGATCCATTCATTTACTGATGGGCACCTAGGTTGCTTCCAACTCTTGGCTATTGTAAATTGTGCTGCTATGAACATTGTGGTGCATAGGTTCTTTGATATTGATGTTTTAGGATTCATAGGATATAATCCCAGCAGTGGAATTGCTGGGTCAAAAGGCAGGTCAATTTTTATTTTTCTGAGAAAATTCCATACTGTTTTCCATAATGGTTGTACCAGTCTGCAATCCCACCAACAATGGACTAAGGACCCCTTTTCCCCACAACCTCTCCAACATTTGTTGTTTGTTGCTTTGTTTATGATAGCCATCCTGACTGGTGTAAAGTGGTATCTCATTGTGGTTTTAATTTGCATCTCTCTGATAGCTAACGATATTGAGCATCTCTTCATGTGTCTCTGAATGTTCTGTATGTCCTTGGAGAAGTGTTTGTTCAAGTCCTTTTCCTATTTTTTAATTGGGTTGGGTGTCTTCTTAGAGTGGAGTTGTGTAAGTTCTTTGTATATTTTGGAGATTAAACCTTTGTCTGAGGTATCATTGGCAAATATGTTTTCCCATACAGTTGGTTGTCTTTTTAATTTAATACTGTTTTCTTTAGCCCTGCAGAAGCTTTTAATTTTGATGAGATCCCATTTGTTTATTCTTTCCTTTACATTCCTTGCTCTAGGGTACATATCAGTAAAGAATTTGTGCGTGGAATATCTGAGATTTTCTTGCCAATGTTCTCCTCTAGGACTTTAATGGTGTTATGACTTACATTTAAGTCTTTTATTCACCTTGAATTTATTTTGGTGTATGGTGTAAGTCTGTGCTCAAGTTTCATTTTTTTTGCACGTAGCTGTCCAGTTCTCCCAACACCATTTGTTGAAGAGGCTATCTTTACTCCATTTTATGTTACTGCCCCCCTTTGTCAAATATTAATTGACTGTAGAGGGTTGGGTTGATTTCTGGGCTCTCTGTTCTGCTCCATTGGTCTATGTGCCTGTTTTTATGCCAGTACCAGGCTGTTTTGATTACAGTGGCCTTGTAATACAGTTTGATATCAGGTGTTGTGATCCCCACTACTTTGTTCTTCTTTCTCAAAAGAGCAGCTGCTATTCGGGCTCATTTGTGGTTTCATATAAATTTTTGAAGTATTTGCTCTATGTGTGTGAAATATGCCATTGGTACTTTAATAGGTATTGCATTGAGTCTGTATATTGCTTTGGGTAGCATGGACATTTTGATGATGTTCATTCTTCCAATCCATGAACAAGGTATATGTTTCCATTTGTTTGCGTCTTCCTTGATTTCGTTCTTCAGGGCTGTGTAGTTTTCTGCATACAGGTTTTTTACCTCCTTAGTTAGGTTTATTCCCAGATATTTTATTTTTCTTTTTGCTATATTGAATGGGATTTTTTCCTTGATTTCTGCTTCTGCTTATTCAATGTTGGTATACAAAAATGCCTTTGATTTCTGGATATTGACTTTGTATCGTGCTGTTTTGCCAAATTCATTAATTAGCTTGAGCAGTTTTTGGGTAGAGTCTATAGGATTTTCCATGTACACTACCATGTCATCTGCAAACAGTGACAGTTTTGCTTCCTCCTTTCCTATTTGGATGCCTTTTATTTCCTTTTTCTTGCCTGATCACTGTGGCTAAAACTTCCAATACTATATTGAATAGAAGTGGTGAAAGTGGACATCCTTGTCTTGTTCCTGATCTTAGTGGAAAAGCTTTTAGTTTTTGCCCATTGAGTATGATATTGGCTGTAGGTCTTTTATATATGGCCTTTATTATTTTGAGAAATGCTCCCTGTATTCCCACTTTGCTGAGTGTTTTTATCATAAATGGGTGTTGTACCTTATCAAAAGCTTTTTCCGCATTTATTGATATGATCATGTGATTTTTGTCTTTGCTTTTGTTTATGTGATGTATTACATATACTGATTTGCGAATATTGAACCATCCTTGCATCCCTGGGATGAATCCCACTTGGTCATGGTGTATGATCTTTTTGATATATTGTTGGATGCGATTTGCCAATATTTCGTAGAGGATTTTAGCGTCTATGTTCATCAGCGATATTGGCCTGAAATTTTCTTTCTTTGTTGTGTCTCTATCTGGTTTTGGAATTAAGATGATGCTGGCTTCATAAAAAAGAATTTGGGAGTTTTCCATCCTTCTGGGTTTTCTGGAATAGTCTGTGGAGAATAGGGGTTAGCTCTTCCTTAAATGCTTTGTAGAATTCTCCTGTGAAACCATCTGGACCAGGACTTTTGTGTGATGGGAGTTTTTTGATTACTGCTTCAATTTCTTTTGCTGTTATTGGTGTATTTAGATTTTCTGCTTCTTTTTCAGTGAGTTTTGGAAGATTGTATTTTTCTAGAAATGTGTCCATTTCCCCTAGGTTTTCAAATTTCTTGGCATACAGTTCTTCATAGTAATTTCTTACAATCCCTTCTATTTCTGTGG